TCGATTGAAGTGTGCTGCCTTGAACCGCACGACACCTCGTCAACACTTGAAGCACTGAAGATTGAACATGGTATTAGAAGCGATTCATTGAAATTTGCACAAATATTTATTTTGTTTAGGTTTGCGCAATGGCGTTGTCTGTATGAATATTTACACAAACCCCCATCCATACACGATTTCGCACGATTCACCGAAATCGATTGGAATAAATGAATTTTTGCCATGTAAATGGTTTAGCCATGAAGAACCATGAATGGATGAAAAAGGAAAATGCGACGGCAGAGAGAAAAAAAATGTGAAGCAATCATAACTCTAATAAAAAGTAAATAAATGAGAAAAATACATCCGACTTTGCTGCGATATCTAATAATACATGCATAGCGTGAAAGAAAAAAACGCTTAAAATGGAAGTGGTGCGCGCGTACATTCAAATATCTCGGCTGAATTTGAATTTGCATGAGCGACATAACATCCCATTAAAATGAAATAGACTAGATGCTGTATTTGGTTACGGTAGAAGTACTGCATTCACAAAACGTGTAATTCTAAAGAATATTAACATTGTTGCGGTAGCTACTTGCACGGTTGATGTGGTCCCGAGAAGATTTATGCAGAACACTTTTTTGTGTTGCCGTTTTTCTTACGCTTTCAACAAGATGGAATAAAAATGTGAAACTTCGATTGCCACGCAACAAAAATATATATTGAAGTTTATGCCGTTCAATATAAACTGGAAACTGTAAACATAAACCGATTCGATTCGCTCAAGTTTGATTCGAATTTCTTTTTCTTTTCATTCCTAGTCGAGTTGCTCAAGATGCAATGCTCGAGAATTGGCAAATCCAAGGAGAGTAAAATATATGCAAATTTACGCTTCGAAGCATGTGAACGCCGACAAAATAGCTTTTCTCCGCTTTTCTGCATTAGCTGCTTGCAACAAATAGTTTAATATGCCTGTATCTGTGTATAAAGTGTATAAAGTGCCGCTCAAAATTGGAATAATATTAATTTGATACGACTTTAAGATGAGGCGCCTTTTGTGCCGCCAATTCAATCCATCCTCTCTAGTGTTAATTTATTGTTGCTACACTTCTATCAATTTTTGGTATACCGTTCGTGCTTTTCATTTGCAAATAATCGTCTTATAGCATGAGGAAGTGCATTTTGATTGCCATGCTGTGTACTGGCGTTGCAAGCCCTTCAACTTATTTCTATGACTTTCACACAAAAGACTCTTGAAATTGGATTGACATGGAAACCAGCTCAAAACATTATGCCACTATAATTCGTGTACATGGCAACAAAATATATCGCTCCTTTTTGGCAACAACTTTGAAATTAATAGCAATGTATGACAATAAAGACCTTTGACGTACTTAATTATTAATCCTTTTTCACCAAATATGCGGGTGTTTTTATTCTTCATTGCGATCTCTTTTCACTTGTATTTCATTTATTGTGAATGTGATTGAAGTCTTATTGTAAACTGATCCCCTTTTAATGGAAAAGGGATATGGAAATGATGTTTCAAAGTGAGATGCTGGTCATTATAGCTTATTCATTATAACAAATAAACAAATGAAAAAAAATCGTGCTAATGGATTAAATTGAGAGCCAGCCATTTAATGGTCTTTTTTTGGTTCAATCGAAAAGGATTTGAATTGATACTCCGAATTCAATTATATCCATTGAGTTGAACCGCCACTTTGTGGAATCAATCATCGATGGAAAATGGATCGTGCGCGCAAAAAAAATCCATTAAAATAAATCACCATCACACTTCGAAGCGAAAATGTTTTTGAAAGTGGTTTTTTTTTCGGTATATTATTGTTTTTGGTTTTCTATACCGAAAATGTCCAATGAATGCACAAAGTGGCATAATTTTAGACTTTTAGTATCATTAGGCGATTCTCTTCCTGTCTCGCCTTCCGAAACAATTGAGCGAAATTAATTGTGCGTTTCAATAAATGAAAATGAAATACAATAGGCGTACGCCATGCCATTATCTAAATCTGAAACCGAAGTTTTAAGTGTTCAAGACACATACACAAAAAAAACGAATTAAGGGCGACAGAAGCAACTTGAAAATGAAATTGTTAAAACCATTTTCAAGACGATTTAGCACGTTCAATCATACGTATCAACATTGATGGCACTTTGTAAAGCATAGCATTGTTTCACTTTTGTGCCACACAGTATCTTGTTTTGGCATTTAGTTTGCTTTGAAGATTATATAGGGTGTTTGATCCCGTTGCCTTTTGGTGGATACCAAATACAAAGGCACCGTAAAAAATGATACGATTTTATTTGTTGTTTTTCTTGTGAATTTCCGTGTCCAGTGTGCCCGGTACAAGAATTCATTTCAAGCGAACGTCTTTTTGAATTATCCAATTTCATCCGGAGTTTATTTTTCACTCGAACATTTTATCTCTTCTCACTGTGCTCACCATATTTGCTCCAAATACGTTAAATTCCTTGAAGGCATTGGCTCTTCGATGTAAAATATCTCAAGATATCGACACTTGATTGAAAAACAACCATTGAAAAATATTGTACCAACATCAGAAGGCACATCGTTTGCCATTCACTATTCCGACTTGCTGCTGCCTGCGCCGATACCGTATCGAACGGTAAGACCCACCGTGTTCGGTGTTGTCTGAAGTCTTCTTATCATCGTTGTTCGTGTCGTTTTTTTTCTGCTTCTATTATTCTTTCTCACCTATTGTTTAGTTGTTTTGTTACTGTTGTTTGTAAAAAATATTTACGTGCTCATGTTCGCAGACATATGCCATTAGGTATTCATTCACATTCATCATTTCTCAGAGTGTATTTCTGTGCAATATGAACTTTTTTTTCTCTTTTCGTTTATTTTTTTTCGTCATTCTTTTTTTTCTCTGCTTTTCAAAGGAATATAAGAGCGAGCAGCACGAAACTCATAAAAGAATAAATAGAATAAAATGTAGACAAACGGAAGAATTAAGAAGAAGGCATCGGAATGCACGTTGAAATACATATGAACAACACGGTACATATATGTGTGTTTTTTTTGTTGTTGCTTTCATTCAACGCACGGCTTTAGTTCATCAATGGAAATGCATTGTTTGGAACATACTTTTTTGAGCTGGTCAATTGTCAGTTTTATTTAAAAATTGTCGGTTCAAAACAGAAATAAAGTTTTATATTGATATTAGGGAAAAAAATATATGATACTAGTGTCAACTTACGAACAATAATGCGCCTTTTTTTCCACGAAATCCAAAGTTAGAATGAAATTCATTCACGTAATGTCGGTTTCAAATCGAATATGAGACATTCTGACAGTTCTATTGCAACGTCTTATCAAATTCAATCGAAACAAAGCTGAGAAAATAATTCCGAAGATCGGTAACAATGGAGACGATGGAAAGAAGATGGAAAGTAATTCCGGTGACACTATATTTCCGATGGAATTTTTATGGATGTTTTCTTGTTCTTTTTAAATGATAAAACCATGATCTTCGTTGACTTCTGTGTGGTATTTATCGTTCTAAAGCGATAATTTTATACTTAAAACTATTTGATGCAATGAAATAATCATTATAGGGAGAGAATAAAGAGATTCAAACCATTTGATAGATAGCATTTAAGGATCAAAAAGATCACGAAATAAATTCCATTAAACATTCGGTGAATTAGTTTGTTGAAATGCCATGTATGTTCACATTTTCTCATGCGAACAGGTATTTCTTAATCATTAATGAACATTTATTATTAATCTTCACTGGCGAAGAGAAGCAGAAAAACAAAAAAAAAAAAATGGAATCATGAACGAATTAAGCAATCTAAAACAAAACAAAATGTTCAAAGAAGATGAAGAAAAAACCAATTAAGAATGCGTTGGTCTGTATTTCCGCCACTAATTGGCCGCACAGTGTATTTTTGTTCACTCATTCGACTTTTTATTTTATTTTCGTTCATCCGAAATACATATTTTCGAGTAAAATTTATTTAGCTGTTGAATGCCATCCATTGAGGTTGAGTGTTTTTAAGACAGCAGACATCTGTTGTTATCGCCTCAACAAAGGAAATTTTCGACGGAGGAAGAAAAAAACAATGTTTGGAGGACGAAAGAGAACGCACAACACAAAATGCATTGATCAAAGTGGTGAACACGGCAAACCAAATGCATTTTTTTTATTGATTCTTGCACATGATGTGCGACAGCGAAAACGAACAAAAGACAACAAGACAACGATGACAAAAAAAAAAAAACGGTCCGAACCAAAAGACATCCAAGAAATATAAACCATCATTATTAGCTTCATTAATAGGTAATTTACAACGAACAAGTAGTCATTGTATTCGCCATAAGGTTTTTTTTATTGTGGTGCGGCTTTTGTTTTAACCGAAATTTGTGTGTATGTGTTTTGTGTGTAAATGACAGTATGCATTTAGATTTTATAATATGCAGAACGTCCATTGTACATGGTGCATGAACATCGAAGACCGAAAAGGAAAATCAAGTGCCACATGAGTTTGCAGTTCGGAGGCGTTGCAGCCGGTGAATATTTCATGTGTGCACATTGGCCATTCGATTCAGGTAAAAAAGGTATTCAAAGAAAATTACGGATGGTAATCTAATAAAACAGCTCTAAGCGCCTATAGCTTCTGGTCACCTGATTGTGACTCTATGCAATAGATAATTTCCTTAGCTGCAGTGCTAACGGTAGCGGATGCACCTATTCGAATAAATTACAAAATCAATTCGACACACTATCGTTAATCGATATTTTTCAATGGATTTCATTTGAGCATTTTGGGTCCGGGTGAAAATAGGGTGAACAAGGAAATGAACGTCGTCTATGTGTGTACATACAGAAATGCTCGATAATTGCGTTGGCTTTTAGAATACAAACCATAAAAAAAGCCGAGATCGAAAAACCGCAAAAGGTAAAAAGTTCAATTTAGAAAATGTTACATTCTATTGAAGTGAATTAGAATTTAAGAATGTTGGTACGTACCGGTGTTGAGTATGGATGTGCTGTTAGCCGTATTCCATCTGCGTTCAATTGTTCAATGATCAGTGCATCTAATCCATTCAGCTGGGGACTGTCGCGTCCACTTAAATATTCCGAACTACCCGATAACGCATTTATATCACTATTGAGCATAAAATAAACACTGGCTGCACCTTTTTCACGTAATTGACGTACACTTTTCAGTAATTTGTGACGATGCTGTGGATTAACAACGCCGATTGCATCCAAATCTGGATCGCCGACCTGTTTGCATATTTCCAAATCATCATAACCGTTATCGAGAAAACTTTCGGCATATTGTGCCAAACCCAGTGCTCGCAGCCACTCGCACACAATATTGCTGGTGGCCATATTTTAATTGCACTTTTCACTGGTTTTTTTCTCTCACTCTCTCTCTTGATCTCGTTATCGTCCGTCTTGACTCTGTTGCTGCCCCTCTTTCACTCAATGTGGTGAGTGTGGTTGTACAGTTTGAGCTAGTATATACTACTAGCTAGACTTTGGTCGTGCTCGTGCCTGGCGCTCTTCTTTTTTTTTAATGTACACGTTCTTTGAATTTTTTTCGTTTGAGTTCCGTGTTCTGCGATCCTTTTAGCGACCGAATTGTTTCTTACGTGCCACACTCTCATTCAGGCATCGATGCACATTTACCATGGTCCTGCATTCAGATATTATTCGTTCGTTTTAAACTGGTGTTACCGCTTTGCGTAACCGTTCTTTTGTTTCTCGAGATTATAGTGAGGAGGTTTTTTTTTCGTAAATTTTGTTTCTTCGTTCCGTCGATTTGGTAAATTAGGTTATTTTATTTTTGCGTTTTTCGCTTGGTTTCAAGTTATGATGAAGTTGTTTTTTCCCTCTGGTCGTTTTTTGATGCGTTTTTTCTCTGCTTCTTCCACAGCACTCGCTCAACTCAATTGTTCTCGCTCAACTCTCTTTGCATAGGCTTATATGAATATTTGTTTTGGGTTTCCCTCCTTATTACGTGTGCTGCTTTTGTTTGAGTTGGTGTGCTTTTTTCTCTTGACGCAATTTCAAGTTGTGCTGGTTCTTTTATTTAAATTAAGTTTTTTTTTGCATTACTTTCTTCGTCGTCGTTTCTTGGCCAAATTTTCCTGCCGTTTCGTGTGGTTATTTTTTTTCTCTTGTCGTTTTATTTTCTTTCTCTTTCGCCCGTACGCTTTATTCGCGACTCTCTGTGTTTTATTTTAATAATATGTAATTAAATATTTTGTTGGAATTATTCGTTGTAGTCATTTTAATTTCTTTATAAATTTTTGAAACCATTGGATTGAACTGAAGCACAGCGTTCGAAATGCATGCACGAACGAACAGCAAACAAAAAAAAAATTGCGGAAGAAATACTTGTTCCTAACGTTCGTACGATGTTTAAATAACACCCCGCATCCAGTTCTCAGCAGATGTCTGTAAAGAGAAACGAAAGAAAAAAACACGAATGAACATTATGAATTTTGGTTGTTAAAAAAAATGCTGAAAAAGATGTTGATCAAAATTCATATCAAAAAATGACGGACGTAAAATGTTGAAGCGTGAAAAATGTGACTAATTTCACAAAGTGAAAGTTACATATTCATGAGATCATTATCGATTTGATGAAAATTATGCCATGTCTTGTTGCTTTTTTTGCGCGCCTTTGCAACAGATTTGGCCTTATCTTTATGCATATAGTTTAAATTTAACCGTAGTAAGAAGAAGTAAAATGAAAAAAATAAAATCGGATAGCGACAGCCAACGTGTATTGCCTGCAGCTCAATATAATCAAAGCGTATAGTACACAGATTTTCTCCCTCGTGTTTAAAGTTTAGAAAAATTTGAAGAAAAATAAAGCAACAGCGATAAAAAAAACATCAGAACTAAATAATCAGAGATGGAATCCTTTGGGAACGTCAGCATTGTCGTTTTTTCATCGAAACGAAAAATTATCAAAATGTCACTTGAATATGGTTATATACACATAATTGGAATAAAATCGCATGTTGTTGACATGCCAAAACGTAGTTATTCTCGCTTTATTGCTTGTTCGTGGTTGTATGCTTGATATTTATTGCTGGAGCGCACTCTCGGCAAAAGTGACGTGAAAACATGCTCTCGTCTTCTTTCGCTTCCAGACTATGACAGATTCGATTAATGTTCAACGATGCCTAATTAGGTATGTTCAATACAACGATGCCAAATACCCACAACAACAACGACGATGATGACGAAAAATTCAAAGCGAAGTTACAGCATAGAGAAATGAATGAAATACGAAAAGAGAAAGAAAAAAAAATAATCAAAGCACATCAACAACAATATCGTTGTGAAATTTTGGTGAGAGTCTTTTTTTTTTATCGTGTCGTATTAAATGCACTTTTTCGGACATTTTGCGTTCAAAATTGAATTAACTGTTTTATATTTCAGAAAAATAAAATAAATTACGTGTCAGCCAAAAAGAATGATCGAATTTATCATCATGGGCAGCGACCATATGAAGCATGTAATTATTTGCTGTGTCTGTGTTTGAATGTTTGAAAGAATCATATATTTTCCGTGCTGTATCCATTCGCTGTCTTTATCTTTTTTGCTTGCAGCAAAATAGAATACGTTCAATATTTTCCCTTGCATATTCGATAGAGAATGTAAAAATAAAAACAAGGGAAAAAAGACTATCAACTTATTTTTGGAATATCATTTTTTTTCTCTGAACAAAACATCGTCAATCAGTGTAACACAAAAAGTATCAAAATAAAGTAATTTCTTCCCCGAATCAAACTCAAAACTCATTTTTGGCATTTATGAGCAACTTAATGTTGAATTAAATTTCCTTACTGCATATTTGAAATTTACTAAATGTTCGCAAAGCTGTATAATACAATTCAATGGCAATTCCTGCAGCGGAATGAAAAAGAACAATGGCAATGTAATAACAGTGCTAAAGGAACACATTTTGACTAATGCCCCCTATTGCAATGACGGAAACATCACTTTTGATAATATGTGACCTGATTTTGTCGATGTAAACTCCGCATTGTAAAATGCAAACGATTGCAGGCTGACATACGTCGACCGTCGTCGTATATTATTGCACAATGATAGCATAGCGCCGTTCGTACGTTGTCAATTTTTTCTTTCGATAATTCCATGAAATGAATATTGCATTTTTGATGAGTTCAGGCATTCGTTCAGATTGGGTCATTGTACGAGCGCATGTTTTGTCGCTGATATTTAAAATCGGAACAATAACAGCAACAACATAATGCGTAATTTGTTTTCAGATTGTGTATTTGTGTAAGAAACAATGTAAGAAAATATAACCGATTATTGATTTTATTGAAGAAAAAAGACTACGAATAAATAATACATGATCTGATATACCAGTTTATTTTCAGCAATTATGGCATTATTTTAAGCATTGTTCGATAAGAGTTTTTTCTTATGCGAGAGCGTAAGGAATATTGATTCAAATTACCCGCAAAAGAATGCAAACATATATGAAATTATCGTAGTATTTGATGTGGGTACACATCATAAAAAACGGGTTTGGAAAAAATATGAAATTGAATGCATGCATGCACTCGCATTTTACTCATCAAATTCATTCTCACAGGCAAAATATAACTTCATAAATAAATGACTGCAATTAGTTGTGAGTTCTAATTATCGAGATTTAAACAACCAAAATAAGTCGACCAACCGCAATATAAGTAAAATGAACTAAAGACAAATTGTAAACGAAAAAAAAAACTGCACAAGCATGAAGAAAACGAGCAACAGATTGTGATGCATCATAAAAACGTGCGTATGGAAAGCGCTACAGAAAAATGAAGGACATAAAAGAGCCGAAGACAATTTAAGGGCATGTGCTCATGAACAGAAATGAAAAAAAAAAAACTGTAATGAAACCAACGAAAAAAAACCGAGCACCGTTGTTGCTGCGATCTGATCAACTGAGCGCAATGCAATGCACGAATTTGGCAACAAGAAATTCAGACCACCGGCGAATCAAGTCAAGTTAACCGTATTCACTCGGCTCAAAGGTAATGGAATCGCAACTAAAATCATGCTGAAAATTATATAGGCTGGCGCATCTGATGCCGAAAAACGACATCGTGCATTTCACGACAACATTGCAACAGTTACGAACGTCGGAAATCTGCACGTAAGCGGCATCTGTTTTTTGTCGGAGAGATCTTTGCGGCTTCGAAAAAAAATATATACAGACCAAAGTGAAATCAAACAAGAGAGAGCGAGCTCTTTAATAAATTTAAGATGGTTTGGATTCGGAGAAGATTTTTTTTTTGTTTCAGCAATTTTACGTAACATGAAATGTTTCCTGAAAGAATTTCATCAGTTCGTTGAGCCATGTAGCATTATAAGTAGATTTGGTTTGGGCGAATTAAGTGCTTGCATCAAGTTGCCTTACACAATATTCTAGAATTTTTTTTTTAGAATTGCGTTTTGCAAAATACGATTTTCTGGCATTTTATTCTATGGCAAACCTCAAATTATTTTATTTTTACCCGGATTTTTTTCGTTCTTTTATTTTTATTCTCATCTTATGGAAAGAGTTCCTTAGCTAACACTTGTTTCACATATTTTTTTTATTCTTCGTGTTGTCCATTCGCACCTGTTTCACACATAAAAAGAAATTACACTTGTGGCAACTGGCAAAAATTCTTTTGTGCTTTTTTTTAACAACTTCAGAAATTCAATTGAGATAATAATTTTAATGAACAATTTTGCGTTTTTCTTTTTTGTGGACAGCATTTATTTAATAAAGTCATTTTTGATAAGTAAATTATCAATTTTTTTGTTTGTCTTCGAGTTTCAACTGAAACGCACCTGTATTTGATTGAATACTTAAAAATGTTCGTACGTTCTTTTTTCGCTTACATCATTAGTTGTCCGAAATTGTCAGTTGTTATGAAACATTTTATTGTCAAAAGTAAATAGCGTGGACTGACCAATTTATGTGGATTTTTTCTCTGGTATCACTGGGAAAATATTTTTGACTGTGAATTAAATTGACCATCATTTCGTAATAAATCACCAATTTATTAATAGCAATAAAAGAAGAATAGTTGGGAATAAGCAGTCAGTCAATAAGACAATTTGATTGTGAAATGCCGCTTCATTAAATTGGCCATCATAAAATATGTTTGTTTTTGTTGAGCATTGAATATGTTGTAGATTTTTAATGCATTGATTTTGTAGTTGTTTGAACAAGATCAATTATGGTCATTAGCTTCATTATACGTAATAAATGTTGAACAGCAGATTTACTGGTTTTTCTTCAATCTCTCTTCGTCTTTCTCTCATTCGTCATTCAATTGAATTCACAATTGGCATGAATTTTCAGCATCGTCGTTGCTGATGATGGGAAAAACAAAGAGAACACAGAATGGAATGGTCGTCATTGGCGTGCCCATCAAGTTAAACATATCGATGTGATTTTCCACTGACTTGAAATGCCGTTGACATCGACAACATCAGAAGCCAAAAGGTGATATTAAATTCAGTGACATTCTTGAAATCACACCGTTGCTGCTTGTGTTATTGTCGGAAGCCCAGCAGTTACTTCAAATGGGCAGGACACACGTCGTTATTGATAGGTACCAAAATGTATACGACTTTTTGCTCTTTTCCATTTGCTCGTCGTCTCTCTCTCACTCCCGCAATGTTCCGCATTGAACGCATGACATTCCGATCGAGTGCATCGAAATCGTTGTACGTCGCAGTGAATGTGTTTTCATATACTCATATAAATTGACATCGATGAATAAAAATAAATCGGTTTTTTAATGTTTATAAACTAATATTATTCTTTCCGCTTACAATATCGTATCGTTTAAACGTGCATTCGTTGTTCAATTACAAATGTGTTTCTGGTTGCTGCAACAGAATTTCCCTTTTTTTGCTCTTTTCCCATTCAGCAGAAGATTTATACGTATTTAATATGATGCGAAATCGTGTGTACGTAGTTCCGGCGCATTTGGCGTGTCTAGCGCACTGAGCAAAAACAGTGAAAAACGCGTGACGAACTCTTTTCTGCACCTCTTTACAAATCGGATTCCATGCGGATTTTTTTTTTCGATCAAAAATAGTGCTGTTATTCGCCAAGCGTCTCCACTTCAGTTTCATTTCTCATAGAGCACCGAGAATCAGCCACTACCTCCTAATAAAAGTTTGTAAAACGGATTTCGAAAACGATTGAATTGAAAGCCGAGCGACGTTTACATTATATCAAAGCAAAAGCACTAAGACACATTTAACGAGAGAAATGACAACGCCAAGGGAGAGAGGGCGAAAGAAGAGAGTGTAAAAAAATACCGAAAAGAAATCCAATCGAATATTTTTATTGCTTATATTGCAATTCTTCTTCTTTCCTGTGTGCGCACACATTATACACTCATTTCCTTTTATTT